CTGCGCAGCAGCTGCCTCCATGATCCTCCTCCCCTGCCTGCCCCGGAGGGGCCATCCCCATGCCTGCGCCCGAAGCTACCGAATTGCTAAAAAACCTGTCAACCGTCCCCACCAGCACGGTGGCCAAATATCTCTCCGCGTTCCTTCAGAGAGTGGGCAACAGCGAAGTCCCTCTGCTAACTCCTCAGAGGACTAAAACCCCCATCTCTCCGTTCTTCTTTACCTTTTTGGGGGGTGGCGGAATGATTTGTGGTTTAATAACCGAGCAGTGATTCATCAAATAACTCGGGCATCAATTTATTATGAAGACGTTTCCTGCGGAGGGTAGAACAGCAGCTCCAAGACCAGCGCTTACGGTTGAAGCGCTTTATGAGGCTGTTTAGGGTGACGGGGCTGCGCTCTCCATTATTTATTTGCTCTGTTTATCGATGAGGTGGGGCCGCAGCATTATTGGAGGCTCTGTGGTGAAGAAATAAGCTGGAGAGATGAAGACTAATCACCAATGCTCCTGAATGTGGGGAGGGCACGGGGCAGGGGCAATGCTGGAATTAAAGCAGCACTGGGAGCTCTGGCCTGAACTGAACAATCTGGCAGAATGAAATATAAGCAGGGAAAGAAAAGCAAGGAGGGGAGAAACCAGGCAGTCGTCGGGAGGATCTGGGAGCGTCAGGTGAATGTTTGGTGGTCAGGTGAATGAAGGCTTTCGGGGGGCTGGAGGCTCTGATGCCCCGGCTGTCCCTCGGCACAGCCCGTTCAGCCCTTCCCCGCGGGCTGCCCCCCGAGCGGGGCTCCCTGCCCCCCCAACCCCCTCCCTGCTCCCACAGATGGGGCTGGACCGTCGCAGCGAGTTTCTGGACATGGAAACCCCACTCCTGGTGCTGAAATCCCAGTCCTGGGGGCGCTGGGCTGCCTTAGCCCCACTGTTTGCAAAAGCAGCGCACTGCAGGTCTCAGCGGTTCTTCCGTTCTCTGCCTAACCTGAGTGTATCTCAGGGCAACTAAGGGCACAGGCAGTTTATTTTTTTTTTTCCTAAACTGTGTGTTTTAATTATTGTCCTTTCTAATGCATGTTTGTTTAGTTAGATCAATGGTGTCCAGTGCTTAAATGCCTCCTCTAAAGACAGTATTTTGACTCTTAAAAAGAGCCTCCAGCTTGCGGTTTCCCTTCTATCAGGCAAAAAGGAAAAAAAGACCGGAGTCATCCAAAAGGACCAAAGGCGAGTCCGAGCACAGACACGCTGCTGTCCCCCCTGGCTCCCAGACACATCACAACGTGCCCGTTGTGTCACCTGCAAGTCTCTGCCAGGGCTCCTGCACTGAATTAAACAGTCACGGGAGAAGCTGCTGCTGTCTCTGTCGACACCCCGAGTTTAAAACAAGTGGACGCCAGCTGATGTTGCACTGTTTGCTCATCCGGGCCGTGACTCCCCCACCAGGGAAACGCTGCTGGCCCCCCCGCGGCCCCCGGAGGTGCGATGCCCAGGCGGGGTGCGGGGAAACAAAAGGAGTGAGAGGGACGGGAAGGCCCCAAATCCTACACACTCCCCGCTCCCCTCTCGGCGTGCTTTTGTTTCCCGTAATAAGAACCAGACCTGAAGAGGGGAGCGACGTAGTTGCTGGGGAAGATCCCCACTCTGCCCGTGACGAGAGACATGCCCCGCAGCCAGCCGTCGTGGTCCTTCCCGAAGACACGGACCCCTTCTCCCTTCTGCAGCTCCAGCTCGTCGGGTCCGTGGGGCGCGTAGGAGTGGAGAGCCACGCACCTGGGGAGAGGGGGTGAGGGGAGCGCAGGAACCCCGCGGCCGCGGCGCCTCCGGGGCTCCCGCTTCAGCTGTGCTGAAAAGCCGATGCCGCTGGCTGGGGGCGAGCGGCAGCAGCTCCCCTGAAGCCCCTTCCAGCGCTCGCGTGGGGCGTTGGGGTGGTGCCGTTCCTGCGCACACAACTCCCAGGGAAAACGCTGCCTGTGACTTCAGGCCAGAGGGGACGTGAATAAAGGCGGAGCTGACAGGAACAGAGACCGAAGCCGATCCCGTCAGTGGTTTCTGCCCCAGAAGCGCCAGCCAGGGGCGGCAAGCGACGGGGAGGAGAGAGGGGGCTCCTCACCTCGGCTGGAGGATCCCGCCAAGGGCTGACCTGTGCCTGTGCCGAGGCAAAGCAGCGTGGAAGAGAGCAGGGACCACGCTCTGGCCCCACGATAGCATCGAGAACACATTCTGCCTTTGAAGTGCGGGTGAGCCAGAGGCCTCTGTTTGCTGGGAGCATCCTGGAGGTGCTGGGGCGGGGGCAGCTCGTACAGCCCTGCCTGCCGTAACCCGCTGCCCCCTTCCCTTGGCCTCCCCGCACCCTCCTGCCACCCGGCCCCCGCAGAGACCACACCGGGACTCCAGCTGCCGCCTCTGGGGCCTTAGAGAATGGAGCAGGCAGAGGAGGAGGAACATGGCTCTGCCCTGGGCTAGCAAGGAAACTGGACTAGAAGTTAGCTTGAAATCCCCTCTAGACCTCCCTGTTGTGATTCTGGGTCTACAACTGGGTGATGGAGCTTTGTTCTCCACAGTGAACCACGTGGGACCACGCAGCAAAACAGGAGCAGAAGAAAATGGCATATTTTTCAAAACTTTCCCATATTTGTTCTTAAAAGAACTTTAATTTGTCTCAGTTTAATGGCATTGCTGTTTTTTTTTCAGGGGGAATGTGATCTGCTCCCAAATATTAATGAGTTACAGGTCAGTGCAGCAATTGTCAGATATTATTTAAAAACCAGAAACAACAGACTAGTTGGCTAGGTAAGTCAAGGACTAGCCCATAACATACAAAGGTGTCTCTCTCCCTGTTGTTCAGCAGAGTCACTTGAAAGTTTGACTTAAACTGTCTTTATAAAGCCACAGGCGAGGTTCAGCGTAAGGCTGCTCGAATTCTGTGGGAGTTTATGACTTTATACAGGATTCACCTCCAAGGGTGGGACCTGCAGATCCTGGTGTGATATTGCAGGGCTGAAAGAGGAGCTGTGTGAAGTAGGCAGCTGATCGAACACTTTAATACAATCCTCATTCTGCAAATTACACGAAGGTCTTAGGAGTTCTCCTGTGCTCAGGATCAAGTGTGTGCAGTAGTCTTGGACAACCTACGCTAGCGTGTGAAAGGAGCGAACGCCACGGGCGCAGCAGAGATCTGTAGACGTGCTCACGTGTGCCAGCGTTTGCTCGATACTGCGGAGGTGCTAATTACCATCAGACAGCTTGTTGCTGTTCTGTTGGTATTAGGCAGCAGTGCCAGGCTGATAAGTCTTATCTAGAGGAAAACAAACCATCACAATACATTATCTGCAAATTTTAACTCTGGGAAAGTTTTAAAAGATTGGATCATTCAAAACACCAGTGACCTTCACTGTAAAATGAATAACTAGAGGCACTGGAGGAGTAATTAGTTCCTTTATCTTTAAAAAATATAAAATGTAGTGCTGACAAATAGGCAGAACTTTGTATCTGTAAATACTGAAATAAGGTAGTAAGGTGCAGGGACGGTTCACTTGCTGGGAATAAAATAATTCAGCTGTGATCCTACATCTCTGCGACCCCCTGCCTAGGCCAGCCCAGGACCTTCCTGCGTGGGTCTGCGTTTGGATCCGAGCGCAGGAGCTGCCCCTGCTCTGCCTTTCCCTCCTGCTCACAAGAACCTTTGGCTGGACAAGCCTCGGGTGAAGGTACAGAAAATTACACGCCCTTCCCCAATGTATTTCAGTTTCCTTACGTACATATAAGCTGAGAAGTGGTGCTGCAGGTGGGGAAGAGTGACGATGGCTGCCGAGTGCCCCAGCGATCCTGGCGCAGGGTAGTAGGATGCACTGACCTACGGGGAGAAAGAAAGCAAAGCAAACAGTATATTAATCTGCATATAGACTTATAAGAACCGTTGGAAGAGCAGCTAAAAACACTTGACAGGCTTCACACACCCTTCAAAAAAAAAAACCAACCCCAACCCAGAGATGTTTCAGGAAGAAGAGTTTGGAGCATTTGACAACAAAAGGACCAGGCAGCAAGAGGAAGACTCATGGCCTTCAGCACCGAGACGCTTTCCATGGCATGGCTCGGTTGGGCTGGTGGTGCTTCTGTCGGCTAACTGAGGAACTTGTTGGGCAGCCAGCCTGGAGCGTGCGGGGGCAGAACAACGGGATAAAAACCGGACAGCCGTGACCTCCAAGAGTAAACACTGAGCCCCAAACCCCCCACTGTTGCTGATCTCCCGTCTGCGAGACCCGCTCGAGTGGGGGGACGCTTCTGCGCCCCTCTCCTTGCGCTCTGTGTTTCTCGCCCCCTTTCTCTTGGCTCTGCGCACGGTGGGTGCCTCTGATTCAGCCCCTCTCTAGTCCCTGCTTCAGGAGGGAAAAGGAGTTTGGGAAAACAGCATTTCAAGCCCAGACTTTGCTAAGCAGGAGGAGACCGTCGCGTCTGCCAGGTGAGGGCTGCTATAATCATTGCTGTTTCACTTGTTATTTATTTAGCTCCAGCTGGGAGTATTGGCATTGTCTAAACCTTAAATAATACAGTCCTTGCCCCAGTGATCTTTTAATAACTGTTATTAGGGCTGTTCCCACCCCTGTGGCATCCCGAGGAGCTCTGCAGCGCCGCGTGTGCAGGCAGCGCAGACCGTGCGGGGCAGGGGAGCGGCCGGCTCGTGTTCGGTTTGGGGTGGCCCTTTCTCCCCTCTCATTTTGCGTCTATGGGGAGATTCCAGCCACCCTCATGCCCCCTCTGTCCTCTCGTAGGGGTCTCTCGTGCTCCGGGCAGGAACCAGGTGCTGGGCTGTTCCCCTTCCCTGTCCCTGCGCGTCTCACAGGCGGGTGACACCCACCCGCTGAGGGGGTTTCTGAGGGGAGGTGTGAGCTGTTGGACGTCCTCTCCCACTCAGCATCTGGCCGTTACCCCCCGCCCCCAGAACCTGCCTGCAGGGTGCTTCTGTTCTTCTCGGAGTTTGGTTTTGGTTATATGTCCTTTGTGCTTGCAGGGCTCTGGCTCAGTCCCACCACGGTGCCCTTGCTCGTGTGGCGCTGATCTCTGGAGGGGCTTCACCCCCGTGAGGGGCTGTGAGCAGACGGGGCTTTTGTTCAGAGGGTGAAGGCCCTCCAGTAGAGGAACAGAAGACATTTCTATAAATGCAGCTTCTCAAGTCAGAGCAGCCCCGCAGGTGAAGGAAGTAGGATGACGTCTCCACAGCTCCGTCTCCAGCGAACTCTGCAGGTTGGAGGAAGCTTCCAGGTGCCAAGAGCAAGACATGGCGATGTGTCACTTGGTTGTCAGTGCAAGGTGGGTTGGTGTTTCACAGCCGGCGTGTTGAACGGGTGCTAAAGATTTTATACTAGAGCTGTTAGGTAGGAGAAATGTTAATCCTTTTCTAAAAACATCTGCTGAATGTGCAGATAAACCTCCCTGGAGCGTATTGGCCAAAGTCCCTCCACTAAGAAACGCTCCTGGAGTGCTCGGCGTAGGGGTCGGTGCCTCCTCCTCTCTTCTCCCCTCGGGTGGGCCACGTCTCGCTGGCCCTGGGTCCCGGGGATGAGCTCTTTGCTGAGCTGTCCCTCCCCAGCGCGGGAACGGGCCCCGGGCTGAGGGGCTGCGAGCCAGCGGTTCATCCCCGCCGGAATGCGGCGCTGGCCGGGTTGTGCCCTCGCGGGCGTGCGGCTGCTGTCGGGGATGGAAACAAAGTTCCCAGCGAGGCCGGGGGGCTGCGGCAGCGTCCCTGGGGAGTGTCAGCCCAGCGGGAAGTCACCAGGCTGGGACGGGGCTGGGGGTCCTGCTCCCGGGCAAAGACCGCCGCACCTTCCGTGATGCGCCTTGTCAGGGCTTTCATCGCGAATTCATTTCAAACCTGATTTCTAGTGGCCGTGTCTGTAACATGGTGCTGGGGCACTGACCGAGGGAACAAAAAAAGTGACTCACCAGCTCTGTTGCTCTCTAGTAAATTAAGTTAATTAAAAACCCCAGCAATTATAGCTTCTGTCTCTGGACCTGGAGTGGCAGGTCAGCTTCAAACCGTCTTTGTGTTCCTCATTTTCTAGTCCAGGTAGGGTCAGACCAGGCTTTCATATGAAGTTGATGGGAAATTATATTGTTTTAATAATTTTCATAATCAAAAGATCTGAAAGCTTGCAATTTGAAGTTTCTTCGTCCTGTGTTGGAGCAAAATCACAACGTTTTACTGGTTTTCCTGATGGAACTGTGTTGAAGTGTCCACTTCTGGATAGAAACCTTAATGTTTTTCATCTCCCTCTATTCCCCCTCTGCATGGAAGCCACAGCGATCCTTCCAGAGCCTGCATCAAAGCTGGTTTTGTACTTTCATCAGAGAGGAAATAAGATGGAATTAAATATTTTCCAGACACTTATCCTTGATTTCAGCATTCATTTTTTCAGATCTCCCATGAGTATCTTGCAAGGCGTTATAAGTAGAAAGAGTTTCATTTTCTGCCTCTCCTTAAATCCTTCTCTTACTCCATCTCCCTGTCTCGCTCGGCCCCAGCGTGGTTTCCAGTGTGGCTCCTCTCCCCAGGGCCCCGCTGCGCGGGCAGCTCCCTCGAGGCGTTCCTGAGGTGCCGCGTGGGGAGGGGGATCCCCGTTCTGTCGCGGGGCGGTTGGTGCTCTTGGCGATACTGAAAGTCGCGTCCTGCGAGTTTTGTTACCCAGAAAAGCCAAACGCACGAGGCGGCAGGTGGCAGGTTTGTCAGCTCGCTGTAACGAGCGGCAAAGGGTGGCAGCAGCTCTCAGCCACATAATTCCTGACCCAAGTACCACTGGCCCAGGGGAATAAACTCGATCGTGGCTGGGAAGAGAGAGATCTGTGCTGGTGCTTTGTGCTGGTGCGAGCAGAGGGTGCAGGTGGGCAAGGCCAAAGGAAGAGCAGGAGGAAGGCTGGTGGCAGCGCTGGCTGCTGCTGGCTGTTCCTTTTTATGGACCAGAATGAGCCCATCCTGATCCCTGGTGGTGGGAATGCCAGGCAGGCAGGCACGTCGTGTTTGGAAAGCCCTGCCAGCGCCCAGCGCAGCCTGGACACCCCTGTGCTTCCTCGCCTGCTCCCAGGGTGCAGCTCCCCGGCTCCCTCCGCGTCAGCATCGCTGGAGACGTGACGCTGCCGGGGGTCGTGTCACACACAGGCTGCTTCAGGGGGGCTGATCATCTCCTCTGCTTCCCTCCAGTGTGTGAAGTTTCACAGCTTGTAATTACAAGATACTGGAAAATTCCAACTATTTTTTGACCCCCAGCCCAACGACAGCAACGAACACATCCTTTCAAATGTGTGGAGCTTTGGTTTTAAATTCCCAGATGCAGCTGTTGGTTCACACCTGCCTGGAAGCCTGTCCTTGCGGAGGAGGGGGGCTGCAGGGTCACTTGGTTTCCAGCTTGGTCGCTGTGGTCGCTCTGCTGCCCGGGTGACGGCTGGTGCTCAGCCCCCCACTCCTGTGATCCTCAGCCCTGCTAGTGTCAGACCTGGTTGCAGCACAGCTCCTTCCTGCCCACTGGTCTCATGGGGCCTCGCATCCTCATCTCAGACAGAGAGAAACTGGGTCATTGTCTGAAAGGACAGAAACGTCTCGAGTGCTGCGCGGGGGGAGCTCCGGCGAGCGCAGGGCCGGGGTGCTGCTGGGGGGCGGTTCCTCTCACGGAGAGGGAAAAGCTCCAGCGTTGGGGCGTGGAGCTGGAGCTGCGGCTGCTCTCAGACCTCCCTGGGCTTCGCAGGAGCCCTGGACAGGGCAGCGACTCCCTGGCTCCCAGGGAGGGCGGACGCTGCGGCGCGTTCCTCCAGACTCACCCGCTAGCCCTGCGCAGCCTCCACGGCTCGGGCAGGTGCCCGCTCCCTTCCCGCGCCGCCCCGCTGCTCGCTGGCCGAGGGCATCAGCGCGGGGGGCACCTCCCTGCCCTGCCTTGCCCAGCCCACCCCCTGTACCTCACCCCTGCCTGGCGGCTAAGGTGATCCAACCCTAGGCTTGGTCTCCTGGGACTGTTCCCACCTCGGCGGTTGTATCCCCACCTACTCCATTCTCGGAAATTGTTTGGTCTTGCCCACCGGGTCCCAGCAGCTCCTCTGGCGAGGCTGTGCTCTTTGGGCTGGCTCCGGGGTGGTTCCAGAGCAGCCGGGGCTGCTCCTTACACAGCCCAGCCGTGTGTGAGCCCTCCTGAGCGGAGTCGGAAAGGCTGAGCGGAGCTGTAGGCTCAGCTCCATCTGCTGCATCGGGCTTGTGACCACCCACAAAGATCCAGGCTACTCAACCTCTGCAGCCTTCCGAGGGAGCATGAAAGCACGCGGAAGCAATTAAGGATGTGATTCAGCCCACTCTTTTCTTTACTATATTGCTAATAACGGAAGACCCCAGCTTGATATTTGTACTCCAGGGGTGAGTTTTTGGGCCTCGCAGCAGGTACTCGACTGTTCATTGCTTCTGAACTTCTCTTTTGTCTGGAGTAGTTTAAACCCAAGAACGTGGATCTTTTACTTCCAGGTAACGCTGTGTATATGAAGTTAATTGCCACGGAACAACCACGCTTTCAGAGATGCAGTTTCCCAGAGTCTCAGCACTTACTATCAAAGCTGAACTTCTACCAGAAGCTGCTGAGCAGCGTTAACCAGCCCTTGGGATCAGCATCAGCTCTCCTCTCTCCCATTACTCCTCAGTCCTGCAACTTTGTTCTGATCAGGAGGTTGCCTTACCAAGAAACTCGCCCCCAGAGCCTTTCTGTCTGAATAACACTAGGCAGAAGGACGAGTGACCTCAGTGGGATACAGGCAACGTGGTCCAGCCTGGCAGTGCTGATCTGGGCTTGCAAAAGCATCTCAACTTTGCAGATCAGTCATTGCAACCCACACCCGGGGATGGAAAAAGGAAAAACTGCAACCTGTGTGGCCCCGTGAGCAACACAGATCCTCCTGCAAACCTCCGGGAGCAAAACTGCTCTTTAGAAGAAAGGAAATTTCAACCCTTCTAAGGCGAAATGTTAACACAGTCCCTCTATTGCCTCTGTTGTTGACAATAGTTCACACTGAGACGTTTTTGGTAAAATTATATTGGGTTAGTGAGACATGATACCATTTCAATTGAATTATAGTTCTATTGTAAGGCTTCATTTCCTCTCACATAAACCAGGATCTAACAGCCAAGGCTCTTTGCAGGCTATTGCTAAGTACAAAATGCCTGCTGGGCTTTATTGCACAGACACCGAACTGCCAGGGGCTGGCTTATTGCCTTATAAAACGTTAGAGCAACCTTGAATATGAAAGAAGTCAAATAAATCTAAACAAAACCTTTTTTCTCCCGTTTCAGATGATCTGTGAAGATTCTGTATTGAGACCTTTAGTCAGAGTGTGAAGGAGGAATGAAACTCTGTTGCCTCTTAAAATAAAGAGCAGATACAGTCCAGAAGGTCGGGCTGCGTTTATTATCTCGGCCCCAAGTTCAGCTGCTCTCAGGTTTAGATTGCAGCCTGGCGGGGACTCTGCCCTTCCCTGGCAAAGCCATTCCTCTGGACGGGGATGGGTGTGGGCAGAGCACTGACCTAGGCTGGGGCAAAGCCTGGTTCCTTTCCAGAAGGGCTCCCAGTCCTGCCACGAGGGAGCAGGAGGCTGCTTCCTTCCTTCTGTAGGTGCCGTCGCACCGGGGGCTGGGGTTCGGTGGGGAAGCCTGTCCCGTGGGCAGCTCGCTCTGGAGAACCCCTCTGGGTGAGGGTGGGGTAACGGGGCTCCGCGTCCGCAGCACCCGCGTCTGCCCCACCAGAGCAAAGGCTGTGAGTAGAGACGCCCAGACGTGATCTGTGCCGAGATTTTGGGCCTAATCAAGGTTTGATTAAGGGATAAGCACTGGGGATTCTGGGCACTTCTTGTATGCTTAGCAGAATAATTGAAACCCCGATTAATGAAAAGCCCGGGTTTCTACTTTCCTTTTAGGCGTGTGGGTTAGGTGAAAAGGCCGTTAGAGCAGTCGCTGGCGGTACAGAGCTGCTCAGTACGATGCAGCTTCCTCACCGGTCTCACTGTTATTTGCTCACAGGTCAGGGCCTGATTCTGCAGATCCCGCCATGCGACTGAGTTCTGCGAGAGGAGCTCGGAGGGGCTCATCGTCACAGTAACACGGTAAGAGTGGCCAAGGGCTGGTTTTAGCTTTAATTTTGCAAACGGTGAGAACTGCCTGTCGCTGATCTACACGTTACATGGGAAGGCAGGCGCTGGCTTCAGCGTGACGCCAGGCACAGGTACACGTGTGTGGCCGCGAACGAGCCGGGGTCACTCAGCTCCCTGGGGAAGTCACGTTCCTTGCGACTTTCTAAAATGAAAAATGCTTTATTTTGTAAGTTAGACTCCCTGTTTTCTGTTCTACACCTGGGGCTCACTGCGGTAGGGCAGGAATCAGCTTGGGAAAGTGCTTTATCCACATTTAGTTACTTTGATAACTTTTTATGAATTCCCTCGGGTCCCTGAGCTCTGAAGACAGACTCTTCCAATTCAGGAGGAGGGGAGAAGGTCCCAGGCAGCCTGAGTGGAGGACGTCTTTTACTGGCGCTATTTGCATGGGTGCTTTGTCTTTGCACGTTTAGGCTGTAGTTTAGATCAGAGCTGTAGACTCTGTGTTTTGTTTGGGCTTTGGCTTTACAAACTGGTGCCTGCGTGCCAAGTGTTCCTACCCAGGACTTGTGTTGTGGGCTCCCCCTGCTCCGCCCGCGCCACCGCCTCACCTGGAGAGGGGTCCCGTAGGGAAACTCGGCCTTCTCGCTGCTCTGGGTGGCCACGGTGGGGTTGCTGGAGCTGATGAGCACGGGGGAGCTGATCTCCAGCGCCGGGCGCTCGGCGGGCGCGTGGACCATCCGGTTGAGGGTGTTGAGGGCGGTGGTGATGGAGAACTGCCGCAGGCTCTTCCGCCGGGAGTCAGGCACCTTGGGGAAGGCTGGTGAGTCCGCGCCCTTGGCTTTGGGGGAGGCTGTTCGCAGGGACGCGCACTTGAACTGAGGGGACCAGTGGCTCTTGCTGGTCTGCAGGAGCTGCCTCGCGGTGGTGTTGGGCTGGAAGAGACAAAGGGAGGCGTGATGGCGCGTTCCAGAAGTTCCGCCTGGCACAGCCCGGCGACTGCTCAGTTTTCCCTTTCTCCTCTCTTTCCCTAATCTGGCAGCAGAGCCAGATGACGTTACAGGTGATCTTTAAAAACTTGTGGCTCAGTCATTTCCCTGATGTGTTTTCAGTGACAAATCCCGGATGCAAAATTACTGATGCAAAGCTGACAGCAAAATTAAAATTGGTTTGAAAAACTTGTTGCTTAGACAACACATTCCTGAGGCTGAGTGCTCCCCCCCAGTGCTTTACAGAAGGCTTCATGTCTTGTGAAAGCCTTTGGCTCGCAGAGGTGTAAGGAGAGCTGGCTGGCTCTCGAGCAGCGTTATAATAAATTTAAATTAGAAGGGACGTTTGGGCACATCTCCCTTTTCCACTGTGTGCTGGCACGCTTGGGTGAGTCTCGGTCAAAGCCCTGCAGCCGACTTCAAGGCCGGAGCTCGGAGAAGCCCTCCCGGGTGGCGGCTTTCCCAGCAGAATTGGACCCACCCAGTTCCATCTCTGTAGGCCCAAACACTCGCGGCTTGGTCCTGCTCCCGCTGGCTCGTTAACCATTGGGTTTAATGAGGGAAGAGTCAGGCCCTGAGTTTGCATACGGGCCATGTTCAAACAGTATTTCTTGGAAACTGCTGATCACACAGTATTAATAGCAGAGGGCATGTGGTGACAATGTTTTTTACCACGATGACTGCCAGAGGAATTAATCATGATTTACTGCTGACATTAATGAATTGCAAAACTTTTTGATTCTCACCCACTCATGTGAGGCAACGTGCCTGACTCCTGGCATGAGCAGGGATGACTCTAATGCAGGAGAGGTGCAGGTGTCTCTCAGGCATTATCATTTTAAAGCAGGGGTTGTTTTCACGTTTCCCTACTGCTCACTCATTAAAGTGAGGTTTAAATCCCATGTGTGGATAGGTACACATGTCAGATGGCAACATTGCCATTTCTATAGGTAATTAAAATTCAGCCTAAACCGGGAGCATTTTTCTGCCTTCTCTAAACACCAGGAGACGTGGTAAAATGGGGCACAAACCTCAGCGTCAAAGGCAGGGAAAGCTTTGCAGCTCCCAAAACAGACCTACCTTTGCCTTCTCCATAATTAATTTCTAATTCCTTGGTGGCTTTATCTGACCCTAACTAACTTATTTCTGTTAACGTCAGACTTAAATAAGTAATTACTGAAGCTAAAGTGATTTCGTTAAATGAAAAGACATTTTACAAAATATATTAGAGCTTCAAATAAGATGTTTTACTAGTGTCCTTTTATAAAACAGCCACGAAGAAGTGCTTGCTGTAATTATGGTCATTACAAGTATTAATTTTATTTCTAGGAATTCTTGTTGGTGCCATTTACACCCTGCATCTCAAGCTAAACTGCAGGAATACCATTAGTGTCTAGACCAGTGCTAACTACCTGCTGTCGGGGAGCGGGCAGCTGCCCGGGCTCCGGGGACGCCGCCTGCGAGGCGCTGAGCTGGCGCTGGCAGGGGCCGGGGGGGCTGGGGGCCACCCGGGAAAGTGGCCAGGGGGCTCACGGGGAAGATCCTGCAGCCAGTGGAGCTACCCGAGAGCCGACTGCGTCAGAACCCCTTCAAAAGGCAATTCTGAACTTTGCCTTTTCGCCCCCAAGTGTTTTCCTGTTGTGGGGGCTCCGCTCCGGCGGGGAGAGGTTTGCAGGGCTGAGGGGCAGCGGGAGGGGGCTCTGCCCCCTCGCCCGGGGAAGGTCCCAGCTTGGTCACCACGTGGCCCCGTTGTCCCCAGCCCGCCGAGGCCGGCGATGCTGTCACCCGAAGGCCACCAGCCCCCTCTCGCCGGAGGGTGGTCGCAGGGCTGAGGAGGGGCTCCGTCCCGCTGGCCCAAACCTGCCCTCAGCTGGAAGGTGCGAGCGGGGCTGAGTCGGGGCCGCGGACACGACTCCGAGGGTGAGGACATGAAAAGCCTTTGGCTTGCTGGATGGTTTCCATCGCGTGGAAATGCCTCTGTAATTGCCACGCACACAACTAATAATGAAAATGGCATTTTTAGCTACGAACCGAGTGAAAACCCCCTACGTAAGTGTGGAGGTAATCGGTGTCACGCTGCCGAGAAGCTCAGATCGTTATTTCAGGAGCTGAAATAACCTGACATTGCTGGAGTGCAGGTATTTGAAATGCTCCAGAGGAAAAAAGCTAGTTTGTGTTGACTGATAGCTACATTTCTTTGGAAGGACCTACATTTTTGAGGAACCTAGCAGAATTAACCCTTGTTAACTTTTAAGGCGTTTTGATTTCACCTCTTTAAGGATATCTGCCACAGGTGTGGGGAAGTAAGAATTTTACAGAAACAAATTCGTTTTTCTCTCTTCTGAACTAATGTGCCAAGATGGGGGCTAAAATTTTAATGCCTCCAAGGTTGGAGGGGTCAGAGAAGGCTGATTCCTGCTGGCCAAAATATTTACACCCTTGCAGAGTACGTGCGTAAAGCTTCCATCTGAATTGGGGGAAATTTTGTATTAATCTTTCAGCCGGTGCCTCTCAGCTTGCATCTGAGTGTCTGAACGTTATCTGCTGGTGGCTGCCTTGAAGAATGAGAAGAGGTTGCTCTGTCGTGTTGCACTTGAACCTCTGCACAAGTTTCCAGGTGGGCTTGTTGCCGAATTACCGTCACCTTCTCCCGCGGGAGGGCAGGGGCGTGTGGAGGGGGGGTGAAACTGAAGGGCGGGGGTGTCCCGTCCCGTCCCGGGAGCCGGTGAGGGGGGAGCTGCTGGGGAGGCTGGCTGGAGCGGGCAGCACCCCGGCGGGAGCAGGCAGCTCCCGGGGTGGGCAGCTGGTGGTTTTGTTGGGTTTTTTTACAGCCAGCTCGATTTTTGAAAGAACTAGATCAAGCTGCATGCAGCAGAACTTTGGCCTAAAGCAACTCCTGCGTCACCCACCCGGGCTCCAGCATCCCCGTGGTGAGCTCCCCTGCCTGCCGCTGCTCCCGGGGAGTAAATCGTCTCTGTGGCACTGGCAGAGCCGCGCTCCCCAGTTCCGCCCCGTGCTGTGGAGGACACGGCACCGGCACTGCCTCGAGGTTTCTGCGGAAGGGAGTGACTGAAGTGACATCTCCAGCCTGCTCCAGCCTTTAGCATTTCGTACGGTAAGAACCGACCTGTCACAGAGCTGGGGCCGGGAGGATGCTCTTGCCCCTTTGCAGAGCGTCTCTTTGTGTTAGACGTGCGCTGACCCCCCACGTGTGAACTTTGCTGTGGGCTTGGAGGTGAGCGCAGCCTAACGCAAATAAACACAATGAGTAAGCCCTGAAACAAAGGCAGATAGAGTCGAGGAGAAAAAACAAACGCACACAGATGGCAGAAACCCGAGGAAGGCGCCTCCTGCTAATAAGTGAATCTTAATGACGCAGGGCAGGGGGCTGCCTGGCTCTTCCGCATCGGCACTAGCGAGCTGAGTGCCCACGCGCTGTAGAGCTGCTGGTGATGTCTGGTGCTGCTCAGAACTGACTTTTCTCTTTTAGTTCCTCCCCTCGAGTCAGAAGCCACAGCTGGCCGTTGGCTGTTCGGTTTCTCTTTCCCCCTGCCAGCCACTCCACAGCCAGCTCTGACTTGCTGAGGAGCCTGGCCTGGGCCCCAGCCTCCCCGTCCTGCCTCCCTCCCTGTCCCTGCGCGGGAAGGAGAAGGAGGTGACTCCTCTGTGAGGACACCAGTGCCTGCGGGCAGCGTGCTCTGCTCTGCTCCGCTCTGCCGTGCCTCACTTTGTTTTGACACTACGGGGACAGCCGACTTTGCTGGGAGGTGCAGTTACTCTCTAACAGAGTAAATGCCAGCTCTGTAGCCTTTGGGGAATAAAGGGAAATGCAGGAAAAGTTCAGGTATTGCTCTGCAGATGTGTGCCTCCACTATGCTGGGGACATTCAGCTGCATCAGTGATGTATCCCCAGACCTGGAAGCAATTTTCTGCGCTATGTCAGTGTCTCTCAGGGGTCTCCTTGGAGTGTTCTGTGCTGAGAAAGACCTGCCACCATCAGCCACTGCTCCTCGGCGGCAGCAGGGCCGAGAGCCCGAGCCGAGGGACTGCAGGTGCTGCTCGGGGCGGGCACTTGCACCCTTCCCTGGATGCCCCTCGTCCTGCACGTCCCCCCCTCCGCCCGCAGGGCAGGCGCGGGGGTCTGAGGGGTTTTGGGCTCCCGGGAGCTGGGGAGTGGCGGAGGACCCTACGTTTAAAGAGGAGAGCCCGGCCCGCGGCGCGGCGGTACCTTGTGGAGCGCCAGGCAGTCCCTGCTGTCGGCCTTGTCCCTGCTCCGCAGGTCGAGGCTGCCGAGCGCTCTGCCAAGCGGCGCGGGCAGGGGCAGCTGCTTGATGACTTGCACGGAGCTGGCTGGGAAGACGCCGCTGATGCCGTTGACCTCCCCCAGGTACCAGTTCTCATCCAGCTGTCGGAGCAGCACGATGATGTCGCCCTTGTTGAACCTCAGCTCCCCGGGGTTGTGCCCTCGGTAGGTGTACAGGGCCTTGGCTCGCGGGACCTGCGGGACGAGAAACAGCCCTTGCAGTCCATCCATGCTTAACAGAGTTCCCCAAAAGCATTCATAATTGTTGGGAAAAACGTAGAGGTCTAAGGCTTACACATGCATTTATTGGGATTAACTACCCACATCCTTCCTTGATGTCTTTTTCTAATGAAGAAAAGCTCCAAAATACTTATGCTAAATTTGTATCAAGATGAAAAGCAGGCTGAACTTGTTTAAGAATATTAAGAAACAATTAACGCCTTAAACTAGTCTTCCCATGGGATCTTACTGCCTGCTGTACGATCTCTAATACAGTGTCTAGTTTAGTGAGCCCAGGTGTTTCTATTTCAGAACAACCGGAGGTCGCTGCCATTGTCCAGCTGACCTGGTGGCCGTCACCTGCAGTGGCCAACGGCCCGCCGAGGAGAGCACAGGAGCGAGGTGAGTGCGGGTTACTGCTCCCCAGTGGTTATGTCCCTGCTTTAACACTGCGTGACCATGGTGTTATTTCAGTCTTTAATCTGGGTTACAGGAAGAGAGGCTTCTTACTGCTATTGTTGTTGCAGTGTAATATAAGAAGAGAAATATACCAAAACCAGAAGAGATGAGGGAACTTTACCATCTTGACTCTCATAAAAATGAAGCTACAAAGTTCACTTAAAATAACCGCTTTGCTGACCTTTATCTATACTAGAAAACTCAATTTAACACACAGTGCAACAGATCATTTAGACGGCTGAATAAACCCCGAGCTGGCCCTGGCCCTGGCGCTGTAAACCCACGCGGTACAGCTTGAGGGCAGCCGGGGGGCTCTTGGGGGGAGGCAGATACGCTGACATTTGCTGTGCCCTGTGTAGCTGTTCTAGATGCGCGTTTGGGGGTCCTGTATGTTAGAAATCAGTGATACTGAAAGGCTCAGACTGGTGTCGAAGACAAGTTGGAGATGCCTTCAGCATGTTTGTGGGACGAGAGTGCTGCAGCCCACACAAGAGCATCCTGGGAGGAGTAAGCAGCCTGTGTTTGCTTACGTTGATTGCCATTTGCAATGTACAGTTGTGTATGAAATGTAAAACCCTGAGTGGTTGTTGGACAGGCAGTTGGACCAGATGGTCGTTGTGGGTCCCTTCCGTCTGAAATTGTTCTCTTCTATCCCTCGTCCCATCACCTCTGCAGACAAGTTAGAACTAGAAGTTGTCAGAACGGATCTCCTCGCTGTGTCTGTGAAGCCCCGATGGCTCCGTGGTGCCGTCCTGGCCCCGGTTCTCGTCCGCATGCAGCATCCCCACCCCCTGCAGACGAGTGCCCGGCCGGTGACGTCCAGCTGGGAACAGCGACCGACACGAGGCGCTCGAAGCGCTGGGCTCTGCTGCAGGAGTGTGCCTCTGGGAGAGATTCCTTCTTTGCTCGAGGCAAACAGTGATTGCTTTCAGTATGAGGTAAGACAGCTGTATATATCCTAAACTATTACCTGAACTGTTAAAGCTGCAGGTATTGCTCTTTCCTTGAATAGCACCAGGTTTTCGGTTTTGATAATATCTTGCATTGTGGTTCATTTTCTTTAATCCCTTTTGATTACCTGTTCTGCTGTTTCTGGCTGTGGGAGCTTCACTGCAATTGCTAGGGACCTGGAAATAAGGGACAGATCCATTTTCTGGTTTCTCTCTGCTTTCCAAGACATGGCCGTGTCTCCTCCAAAGGATTCCTTGGTCCGAGAGGGGAAACTTTGAATTTGGGATGGGAAAGTAGTTTAAGGGTCCCTCCTGTGCTGGTAGAGGAGAGAAAAACCCCAGCGGGTGACTCTGGGGCAGCTCCAGTGCAGGCAGCCACAGCTCTGCACCGCAGCAGGGGGAGTCTGTGCCCTGCCGCGGGGCTGCCTCTCCTCACCCCCAGCCGTGTCTTCCAGACGGAATTTTGAGGGGACAAAACCAAATGCTGAGCTCCATTTCTAGCCCCCTAGCTGGTAGCAGAGCTGCGTGAGCTACATGCCGAGAGGAGGGGAAGCCCGGCCTGTCCCCAGTTCTAGAGCCTTGCTCTGTTTTGAGCAGAGGTGCCGGTGGCCAGGACAGCTGGGGACAAGAGGCTTTTCCAGCTTCTTCTGTGCCAGTCTCTGCAGATCTAGATTGTCCTTCTCCACTTTTTAGGACTTGTAATGTCATGTGTGGGAACTGCAGGAAAAATGTTTGTGTCTGGCAGAGGAGCTCCATCCACGGCCGAGTGCCTCAGGCCCAGGTGCTGGTGGGGCACAGGGCCTTAGTGCTGCTGGCTCTGCAGCTCCTGTGGACAAAATGTGGATGTTTGTCTGTCAGCTGACAAGTGCTGTGGCTTTGTGAGTAGGACCCTGCGTTGCAGTTTTTCCAAGCCATAGTCACCAAACCCCGCTGACCTTCTGGGAGATGGCACTTTTGTACCAGTGACCCACTGAGGCTTTTCCTGTGGAAGGAGGAAAACCCATTTCCCCAGATCCACCCGTGTTGGCGCCCAGGGCTCAGGCAGGATTTCTGCAGAGTTCACCCCATCAGCTGCTTCTGGGAGGTCAGGGAGGTGGAAGGGAGAAACTCAACGTTCGCTTCCTGAAGTGTGGAAAACAGATTTTCCATGGAAATGATTTAGGTAGTGGGAAGAGAACATCTTCCAGCACTCCCAAACACTGATGCTTGGTAGGAAGAAGGAACCAAGAAGAACGTTTTATGTACTGTATTTACTTCAGAGCGTTTACAACAGGAAGCAATTAGTTTAATGTTTAGTTCTAACTCACTCATTTTGTCTCTTAATTTGTGCACTTGGCTTGGTGATGCTGAAAGTATATTGCTGGGAAAAAAAAGAAAATTATGGAAGTGAGGCTCAGGCCAGCTTTGCTCTCCACCAGTCCCCTGGGCTCGTATGGGAAATGGGGACCGTGCCAGTGCCAGGACCACAGAAACTCTGGCTGCAGACCCACGCCTGGACGTACCCACTTCCTCACACGAACGCCAGACTGGGAGCGGAGGAGCACCGGAGGGCCCGTTGAAGGACTCGGACTCCCTGGCGTTAAACAAGGACAAGGAGCACAGAAAGAGACCTCTGACTGCCTCAGGAGCGACCAGAAAACAAACAGGACTCGGGCAAACTGAACGGCTGCACGGCAAAATGAAGCAAAACATAAAAGGCATCCAGAACGAGTTATGGAAATATATTAAAAATAAGAGAAACTCTGAAATGAAATGCATGCCTGTTACTAACTGGGAAAGGTGAACAAGCAACGGGGTGCTGAGAGTCTGGAATATTCTTTTTTCAGCAAGAAGCAGGACTCGGCGGGAGCGCAGGACAGACTGGGCTGGCTGAAACCCTCCGCTGGGCTGGACCCGCCCTTCCCTCCTCTGACCGTGCCCCCACCCTCCGTTCTTCACCTCCTCTGCAGCCTTTCCTCCCGCTTCCGTGCCCTGTCAAATCTCACAGCCCGTTCTGTTTCCAGGTTTCCCTCTAAGCCTGGTTTTCTTTCCTGGTGCCATTTCCTGGAGCTTGCAGTGACCCTGGCATAATGTCACCCCTCCCTGCGGAGAGCGGAGCGCATTCACGCCTTGACATTTGTGGCAGAAGTTTTGTGGATCCAAGTGCATAGCAGTTAATGCTTACGTGCTTCTTTAGCATCCAAAAAATATTTGGAATTTTGGTCTTTTGGGGCATATGTAGTAATTCTGAACACTCACACGGTAACATCCATGGACGTTTTGTCAGGGAATCGTTACGGTGATGGTGGCCCTTGTTCCGTGCCTCTGACCCCCCGCTAAAGCTCCCTGTGCTCGGGGAAGGGCTCGGGGGCTCTGGGGGGGGCTCGGGGGCTCTGGGGCTCCCTGCACTCGGGGCTGGAATCATGCTGGACTGATCCAGCACGTGATGACTGATCTTTTCAAAATCATATGTTCTTTGTAACTGCCCGGATATTTTTTCTAATATTTTAATAGCAAAACCCAATGTAATTTAAACAAAGAGGAGAAGGGTTAAAAAACCCCACAGCAGTGCAAAGCATTTTGTTTTGGAACCAACTGAAATTAACTTGAAATTAAGTTTTTTGAGCTCTTCATCGAAAAAACCTTTCAATTCAATTAATTTTTTATGGCCCAACTCAGTGTTTTTTTTTTTTCCAAGTCTGTTTTTGTTGCTTTTTAAAAAATTTTGTTTGTCTGTTCAGATACTGAGCCAAGAATACCCCATTGATTTCCCAACTTTATTTAGGACATAAACCAAGCCTTTATCTACCCACACGGAGCAGCCAGTGTGGTTTTTACTGTACAGGGCGCTATCCTGCTTTGCAGGCCTTTCACAAAATAAATTGTCAAGCTGAAGTTTTCCGAAGGATGTACATCAAGGTCACTGCTTTTTACTGTGTTCATAAGATGTAGGAAAGACAAAGAAAAGCAACTAAACTGCCCTGCAGCAAACCACCCCGCTGAGGCTGGGGAAGCCGCCAGCTGATCTCTGCTTCTCGCTCCTCCCGGTGCTACAACACGGGCGTAGCTCAAATCTGATTTCTTTCTCAGGCTCTGGCTGGTTTCTGTCCACTCTTGGATGTATAAGATCCTCTGCAAGGCATCTGTTTCACTTTATTTAAAGTAGGTTAATTGCAACGGCAGAAACTGGGGTGCTAATTAAACCAGCGATAAAGACAAGGTGTGCCTGGAGGTAGCTGGCTCCGGGCTGAGGGCAGAGGGAGAGGCTTCCCCGGGCGAGGACGCGGTCCTGGGCGCGGGGTGAGGAGGCACCTGGTTTGTTTTGGTGGATTTTTCTCCCGTTAGCATGTCCAGTTGCTTTTTGTTAATCCAAGGCAGCTTCTTATTTTAGCAGTGTGGTATCGGAGGCAGAATGTCCAGCCAAATAGTGCAAATATTGGGACCCTCCCTACCTGCAGGGTTCAGTGTCTGTCTTTAAATTCAGCTGGTGTTCCCCTGTGAGCTCTGAAATCAGCAGGACGCTGAGCAGAGAAGGCAGAGCCTCAGTACATCCCGTGGCCCGCTGATACCTCCCAGGCTGTGGAGCCGACAGAGGCCAACGGGGCGTTTTGCCGAGACCTTTGGGCCAAGGGCAGTCGGTGCTCGTGGACCCGAACGCGTGTGGTGCTGAGGAAACACTTTTTCCCTGCCTGCGGCCGCTGAAGGGAGCCTTGCCTCTCCCAGGGAAGCCTTTCCCTCTCTCTCTGTTTTCTGGGTGGTTGTAACTTTTTCAACGCTGCCTCTTTTTTTCTGATTTTTTCTTCTGTTATCTTTTCCATCATGCCTGAGTGAGACATGACCCTGCTCTTACCATGCCCCACCCCAAGGTATCTGCGGAGCTGTTGGGAGAGCCCCGGGGAGAGAGCGCAGGCGGTGAGCCCGGGCTGTGGGGCTCCTCTCGCGTCACTGCGCGACGCTGCGCGGTCTCGGGGCGAGGTGCTTTTCTCTCCTTGGCTGCTCCGCCAGCAGGGACCTCAACACCTTGTCCCCATTCTTAGTAGATTTGAGGCCGATAAGGGAGAAAATATTTTTTTTTTTTAAACTATTTTTGGCATTTGGCATCAGCTGTGCTAGGGCAGCCATCCAATACATCTGAGTCTCCCTCCGTACAAAACAAAGAAGCAAATTAAAAATATGTATGTGTGTGTGTGAAGAAGCAATTCAAAGCATCTCTTCATAGCTGGGAGAAATGCACACTATAATTATCTTAAATGAGCTAGTTATAACTTCCTCATTATTGGCAGTGGATTAATGTAAGACCACACACTCATAGCACTGGTATTTTTATAAAATAAGAGAAGAAAAAGAAGTGTGTGAGGCCAGCTGGGGTGGGGCTCACCAGGAAGAGACGTTAAAATTTGTCAAGAAAGGAGGAAAGCGAAGCCAGGGAGCGCAGCGGGGAGGCAGATTTCCGATGGAGGCTGTGAACGCCCATAAACCTTGTCCCAGGCGACTCGGAGCAGCCCGAGGAGCCGCACGGCCCCGCGGTGACACCGTCTCTGCACGAGCGGACTGGGCTGCTGCCCGCGATACCCGGGGGGAGCGTGAGGACGAGGCCGTAACCATCCTGCGCCCGGCGTTCCTTCACCCGTTGCCAAGCAGGACTGGCCGCTATCGACTCCAGCGAGATGCCGCTGGCGGCGCCAGGTGGGATCCTCCTGCTTCCCAGGCGCCCTGACCTCAGCAGCCTCCCCGGCCGCGCCGCGCCGGGCGAGGCAGGGCCTGGCGCGGGAGGGCTGGCCGTGGTGCGGGGTGCCTGGGGAGCCTGGGGAGCCCGGCCCCCACGCGGGCGCCGCGGCACTGTGGGGCTGCCCCGTCTGCAAGAGGCCGACGGACCAGGAACAGAGCCGGGACACGGGAATGGGCTGTGGCGAGCCGGGCCAGCTCTGTCCCCTGGGCAGCCTGAGGGAAGGGAGGTGGTGCAGAGGGGAGCTGTGGTGACCCTCGGCGCATGGCCCACGGGGAGGGCAGCGCAGCTCCATGCTCTGGGCGAGCTCTGCCCTCCCCTCCCACCCCCGGCGCGGCGGGTTTTGTGCAGAAGAGATGGATATCTGCGCTGTGCAGAGGCTGCGATAGTCCTGTAGACACGATTTCTGTAACACGTAACAGCCTCCTTGAGAGGAACAATTTATTTCAAGGATGGTGCCAGGAAAAAGAGAAATCCAGTCCTGGATGTCTTCCAGTTTGATTTTTCTCCCACTGGGTACCACGGGTTCAGTTTGCACATGATTTTTGATGAGTGTTTCATTTGGAGCAGGACAGTTGTCAGTCGGAGGGGACTGGCCCAGGGGTGTGTGGCGCAGGGCAGTGTCAGGGCTGGGACTCACCAGGACTCGCTCCTCAGGGGAATACGTTGAATTGGATCCTGTGAGCTTCCAAACTCCATCGCTCCTGCTCTGCGCCTGGGTAGCAGGGGCCCAAGCACAGCCTCAATACTAAACTACACTGAGGTGCGTGGAAGAACCTCCCACCCAGAAAGCTGCTGCCGTGGAGCAAAGAAGGGTCAGTACGGACGGATGGAGGAAGCTTTTCCTACCAACTCCTTTTGCTTCAAGAACTGCGTGGTGTGACGCGGCGTGTGCAGTGGGTGAGGGCGCGTTTCCCGGCCCAGGATCGACAAGCGAGCGCTAGAGGTGTGCCAGGGTGGCTGAAGAAATGTTTGAGTCTCTTTGCTCTTGACTGTGGCCCAGCGTGACCCATCCATCTCTGCACAGACACCTGCATCTTCAGTGCGGCACCCACGGAAAGAGCCAGAACGTTCGGCGTGTGTGGGAAGTGGAAAGCTCGTGTCCCGGCCCCGCCGGGCAGGCAGGGAGGGGAGCGGGGACGGGACACCCAGCAGCCCCCACAAGCGCAGCGGCGGGTCCTGCCCTGGAGAGCAGCAGTCGGAAGAGGCTGCAGAGCTGAAGGGTGGGGTGATGGCGACAATCCTGTCCCTGCCTCACCTGCGGGGATGGGACCGGGGGCGTGCGGGTGGCTGGCCGGGAGGCAGACAGCGACTCCAGGACAGATCTGAGAGCACAACCCGGGCCACGCTCCCGAGGAGCGGTGATGAACACACCGTGAGCGGAGAGCTGGTTATTATCTACATGCTGACGCCAAAGGACTTGCTGGCTTTCCACAGAGATAATCAATAACAACCGCCATCCATTTTGATTACTAACTTTCTGCGCGCCGCCTTCAGCATCCTGCCGCCGGCTGCCCGCATTCCGGCGGGATGAGTGAGCCCCACATCAGCTCCTTTGTGTGCTCAGCTCGCGCAATTTCAGGGCTCTTTAGGATCCAGTTGGATGAAAAGAGCTATTTGAATGTAAATTAATTGCCATTACAATTCTGTTTTTCTGCTTTTCATCAGAGGAGATAACTTCAGCCTTGTCACAGAGAACAAAACCATCAGAAGTGAACTTGTCAATTCAATCTCTTCATATAATTATATTCTGAGGATTCAGACAGTTGGGTGGTTTCTGCGTTATTTCTCCCCTGAGGTGGATTGCTCCCATCTTCCGAGCGCCAGCAGACTGTGTGCACCAGGGAGAGCCCAGCCCGTCCCCTCCTGCTCACACCAGCACCGGGGCTCACCAGCTCTGCCCAGTTCCCTCCTTCTGGGGGGACTCAGGGCCAGTGCTGGTCGTGGCTGCAGCTGGCAGCTGCCCCGGCCGTGAGCCAGCAGCCTTCCCGGGGAGCTGGAGACAAACTGCACGGGTTTAGCTGGGTTTGGAAAACATCCTCTTAAGTCACAGGTGTAAGTGGGTGTGATTTACAGACTGAGGGGATGCAAAGCAACGGAAGGAGTCTGCAGAGCTGCCGTTAGAGCCTCTCGCTGGGGCTGGTTTCTGTGCTGCTCGGTGGCGATGGCAGCGGTGAACAGGACCCTGCCACCACCTGCTACCACACCCCCGGTGACACGCCACCGCAGCCAGGCTTGTGCCACTTCTGAGCTTCACCTATTGCAGTTCTGGCTTTGTGCTGCAGGGGTGACGTGGAAAACGGGGAGAGGGGTTAAAGAAAACACAGAGCAGCTTCCATGCCGGCGAGGCTGAGCGGCGCTGCACCAGCGCGGGCCGAGGCACGGCCGCGGGAGGGATGCGCCCAGCTGCGTGTCTGTGACGTCCCCGCGGTACCGGGGAGGACGGTGCCCGACTGGGCTTTGCTCTGCCCGTGTGAAACCAACCAACGAGAGGTTGAGGTGGGCAGGAGGAGTGTTGAGGCGCGTGCGGGCCAGGAGCTGGGCCTGAGCATGGTTCGCTCCAGAGCCGGCGGCTCCTCGGCGCAGGCAGGCGGGTGGGCGCCGGCCGAGCAGGGACGGGCCTGGGGAGCTGCTGGGTGAGAGCAGAGGGGGGCGGCTGGCGCGGGGCGCAGCGCGGTGATGCTGCAGCGTCTGCGCCAAACCTTTTCACGCCTCTTCCACTCGTCGCTGCTGCTATCAGATGGTTTTGTCTCTGCTGCAGTCAGCAGTCTTGGGCAGTGGTTAAGTTGTGTGTCATGGTTTTAAGCCACACAGAAAACAACCTGTGTCAGCCCTCGGCGTGCCCGGTCATGATGCTCTGCCTCAGCGCCGCAGTTCTCAGAAGTGGCTGTTTACCGTGCAGGGAGGAAACCTGCGTCCCGCTCCCTCCTCCTGCTGCTCCCGAGCCCTCTCCCTGCTGGTTTAGTGCCCTCCCCGTGCCGGGAAAGGGAGCGAGCTGACGCTGCTGTCACCCTGCGCTGCCAGGCCCGGGCAGCGGGGCCACGGGCACAGAGGGACGGGCGCTCTGTGAGCCGGGGAGGGAGGTGTCTGTGCTGTGTCCCTGCCACTGTTCAGAGCCCCAGGGCCCCGTGCCTTCGGATTGCCCAACAACCCCGTATTTAGTTTTCACATCATTTCAGGGAAGTGCTTCATTAACGATGTTGCATCTCCCCATTAGCCTGCCACCTCCGCTTAGCAGCCATTCTGATGGTGAATTGATGGCTGTCGTGAAGCGATGGCCACCCGCTGGGCCTTGCCTCGGCTGTAGGCCAAGACCAGGGAGGACACTGTCTGCCTGGCCTTGGGTGTCCTCACCTTGCCCAGACCTGGGGCTGGACAGAGGAGCCGCTCTCCCCTTTCTGTACTTCCATTTCCTAGGGGAGACCGACTGACTCTCTAGCCCAGATACACAAGATGAAGGCCAACACGGTTTCCCAACAGGCGAGGCTTGCGTTTTCCTCCCTGCAAAGCCAGTGAGAAATTCTGGGCCCATCAGTTGTGCATGGCCCGTAGGAAACCCTCTTAAAGGGGTTGGATTGCCAAAGAACTCACAGGATCCTAAACTGTGTCCGTGTCCCAGGTTCCCCAGATCGGGGTAAGCTCCAATACCCACTCACTAGCTCCTAGGACAAAGCTTTCTTAAGAAAAGGTCATGGTTCTTTATTCATTTGCCCAGTGCCTTGCACAGCGGGGTCCTGATGCTAAAAGGAGTTTGAATACCTGAAAATTGGCAACAGCAGAACGAAGGGCGGTGTTTCAGTGCAAGCACTGCAGTTTTCCTACAGGGAAGTAGAGGAGAGCAAGACAAGGTGCGGGCAGCAGCGGCGAATGGCCTTGTCCCTGCCGAGGTCCAGCCTCACCTCTCTCAGGACACCTTTTAGCTCCAGCCCTGGTGCACCGTCAGAGCCACCCATGAATGTGCCTCCTCCTCCCCCTTCCCTCCGGAGGGGAAAATTACAAACTCAGGCCAGTAACCAACTTCGTGGGTCTGGGCATGGTGGCCAGCCACCAATGGGGAAACTCTGCGAGAAGAGGAGGACTCTCAGACTTTCAGCCTCCTCGCTGACCGTGATACTTAGCAGGTGAACACACACGCTGAGAAACCCTGTTCTATTCCTGACTTGCCATCTGAGCCTGACTCATTGCCTTGGTAACAAATTAAAACACTTTTATGTGTTTGCAGCTTGGTACATAATTTTGTAAAACCAGGGAAACTGGCTCCTGCTGTTGGCCACGGAGGTCCTTTGGCTCTCCCCCGCCCCGCGGGGTTGCCCGGGAGTGGCCGTGGCGTTGCTGCCGCCCTCAGCACCGAGGGCTTCGCGGGGCAGCGGCGTGCGCCCAGGGTAGCTGCCGGTGACAGTGGCCGGCACCGGCACGGCAGAACCACAAGACTCACCCCTGTGTGTTTTCCAGGCACCGCTAACGGCGTCAGGCAGGGACGGCCGTGCCGCTGCCCTTTGCCGGGTTCCCGAGCCAGGAGCTCTGCTCACCCATCGCGAGCGAGAGGAGAGTTTGTCAGCAACCGAAACGGGCTTGAACATCAGAGGATCACACACCGCCCAGCCCGTGGCAGAGCCGCCCGTCACGCCTGTCCTGCATCGCGGCGCAGCTGGGCCTCTCCCCCTTCATCCCAGCCGAACGGTATTTTTGCTTTAAGCTTTGAACCTGACCTGCCCCTCGTGCCCTGGCCTCCCTCCGACAGAAACAAGGAGCGGCTCAGTCCCGGTGCGTGTGGCACCGGCTCGTCCTCCCGGCTGCAGCAGTGTCTGTCGCAGCTTCCCGCTTCGGTGCTCTTGAATCTGGGGTGGTTGCACCTAAAGCTTGCGGGGTGTGCACTGCCAGGCAGTCTGTATCGAGGTGACGTCGCGCTCTCTTGGTGGTAAATGCAAGTGCTAAAACTGCACGCGAAGGAGAAAAGGCACGCGCCGGTGCTTCTGCGCGAGTGCAGGCCGGCCCTGCAGAAACAATGCTTGGGTCACACTCGTGTCTTTTGGAATGAGACAAACCCTGACGGGATGCGGCTGTGGGGGAGAAACGGGGCAAACCCTTCCTCCCAGAAGGTCATGAGGCCACACAGAATTTTTAGGCAAACAAAGCGGCTTCATTTCCAGTTGATGGACCCTGTGGCACAAGCAGCCACCACCCAGAGCGGCTGCTGGGCAGGAGGCTGCTCTCCCTCTCCGATGGAAAAGGGGGGCACCACCTCCTAGGACAGAGCCGATGTGCCTGTGCAGAGTCCCCGGGCTTGTAGTGTCCCTTCAGCGCTCGCCCAGCCCAAGGTGACACGACACACGCTACGGGGTCATTACTGTGCCTGCACAGGAACTGTTGGGGTGTTTTGGGGGGGGTTGCACAGTGAGTGGGTCAGGAAATGTGGTTTGCCTCCGCTGGGTGCAAACATGAAGGTTGCTTTGAATAAGGTTCCAAAAAGATCCAGCAATCCGAGTCCTGTCTGTCAAATTCAGCAAGGAGTTGGAGATGTTTCTGGAGGAGAAGAAAATACCAAGACGCAGGCACTATATATAGACGTCCGTGTGAAGGTGGCGACGTTGGAGTGCGGTGTATTTTTATCCCAATAGAGGTGTTATCTGTCTATCTCCCATGAAATGCTGGAGGGGGGGTGTTACAGCACTCAGTTCATGCGAAGAGAAAATAGCCGAAGTCACAGTTAAATTTGTGTGGTCTGTGTTTTCCAAAGGCAAGCTGTCATACTCGGAATTTTTCTCCTCTGGCTCACTGCCCTGTATTTGTTGCATGACAAAGTTCATTGTCCAAGTAGCTGTTTAGTGGCCTGGACGGAGTTTTGCCATGTGTAGGGTAGGGTTTAGGTCTGCTCCTCCTGGCAGAAGGGCAGGAGTTCTGTGTGTACCTCAGCGCTCGCGATCTGTCTGCTCTCACCAGCGGTGAGGCCGTGTTTAGCTTCCACTGGGGCTGAAGCCAGATAAGATGCTTCAGCCCAGGACGTAACCACATCTGGCACATGCCAGGGGCGGTTCCGAAGAGTTCAAAGGCTTCAGCGTAGATTATTTACGCATTCACCTCCTAGCAAATCCTTTTATTCTTAAATTCCAGACAGTTTATTATGCGGAGATCCTGAAAATCCAAAGTCTTGTCCTCTCTGTATAGGTGTTAAAGATCTCAGGGGCTGGGCAGAGATCCCGGGAGCAGGCACGGGCAGCGCCAGTGCTCCCGGTGCAGCGCAGCCCGAGCGGCTGCTCCCCCACGGTGCTGGGTCCCGGCACAGGCCCAGCCTGGGCACTGAGACGTGCCCGTGGGCACAAACCCAGCACGTGCCCACCCCCTGTTAGCCCGTAGGAAGTGGGCTCAGAAGTGATCTAAGTGCTAGCGAATAAGGAGTAGTTTGGGATGGGCTGTAACTAGAATATTCCCTGTTTATTAAGGACTGGCTCTGAAATTCCTGACTGAGTATTGTGTTAGTGCTCATTCAGCAGCTCTGCTGGGGCCTGCTTGCACGTCCCTCTCGGGATGATACGAGTTCTTGACTATCTTGGTGACAAGGGGATTTATTTTACATTTTGGTCTTCATGGACGCTCATGCGGATGAAGAGCAAAAAGCTGGCAAGGAAACATCTCTGCTGAGAAGAGAAACTTTGATCAAACTTGTGATTTTTGCAGCTCCCTGAAGTAAAGGAAGTTTATTTATAGAACGGCTTCTTTGGTAAAAACAAAACATGTCCTGTATCCTGCTTTTGATGGCGTATCTGGCTGCGGCGCAGCGTGGGGCACGTTAACCTCATTGCTTTGTAGCACCAAGTGGTGCACGGGTGTTAGTGGTAATTAGCAGCCTGTGCAGATTGGGGCAGGCTTCCCTGGGAGAGCACCCGACCTTCCGCTGCAGCTGCGAGCGAGCGCTGCACCGAGGAGTACCCGGGAGAGCCGCGGCGGTGGGATTAACTGCGGTGGAGCAGGATGGCACGAGGGCTGCTCTCCCTGTGATCCTTGGCCAAACTCATCTGCTCTGCGGGTCCAACCGTTCGGAGGCCTCTGCCCGCCCGGATTACTTCAGATGGATGCCTGGAAACTCACGGCGCAGGGAGAGGACAAGCCATCCCCCTCGCTGGCGCCTCCAGGGGAGCCCTCGCTGCTCAGGGGCCGGGTCGTGGGGTCCGCGTGCACCAGCACCCCCAGAGCCGCGGAGGGACCTCTGGTCCCGCCTGCATGTGTTTAAAACCACCAAAACCAAACCGTGACGAATACGTTGCATTCTTCCCCTTGCAGCCGAGGATTCCAAACTGCTTTATAATTAATTAACTAATTAAGTCTAAGAGCATTTCAGTGTAACGTGTCTTTGCATCCCTTTGTCGGGAGGCGCAGGCAGTCAGCGGCTGTCCTGGCGCTGCGGGAACCGGCCCGTGGCCACAGCCTCTTGCCCGGCGCTCACCAGCTCTGCCGATTCCCAGGAGTTTGCCCTTAAAACGCTTCTGGGAGATGCGACTGGTGGATGTTGCCATCACATAACATCAACAACAAGTTTCTGCCTGCCCCGAGAACTAGTAAAAGACATGTGAAACGGGTGAGAGGCGAGAAAACCAGACGAGCGCATTTGTGGTTTTTTTATCCAGGTGGAGGAACTCCAAACCGTCTCATTCGCAGCCGAGATGCCGCCCGTAGTGGCCGTGGCTGAGAACTGTCGCTGTCGGTTCACGCTCGCACGGACGGCACCGCAGCTCCCCGCAGCCCCCCTGCGTGCGGGCTCGCGGCGAGGGCCCTCGCTGG